CTACCCCAGCCTGTGTGCTTACAAAGACAACAGTGGTCGTTATTCCAGTAGGGAAACTGAGGCACAGAGTGCTGTTAGGAGTGGGCTGGTGAAACAGCCACCTGAAATGGTTCCAGCAGATGCTTTCTTCATCTTTCTTTGTCTCCACCCCCAAAGCCAAGCTGCGGGAGCAAGCAGTGGCCCAGCTCGGCTCCCTGGCTCTCTGCCCTGGCACAGGTCACACCAAAATCTTTTCCCCTGCAGTTCCTCTTACCCCTGAGTTATCCTTTCTTGAAATTATTGCCGGACATTTCAGGAGAAGAAGTGTGTGTTAAACATGGAGCTGAATGAAACACTTGTATGAGAATTTGCAAGGACAAAAAATACATGAAAAAAAATTACCCAGCCTAAGCCACAAGGAAATAGGGCCAGGCAAATGGTTGGGAATTGTTTTTTTACTGGTAACATTACAAATTTAATTGGATACATACGTCAATGTTCTTTATATTTGAAGTGCATATAGCCTTGGATTTCTACTATTACACACTTGCATAGATGGGACGTGGTATTTTATAGTACAAATGTTTTTCCACACTATGGTTTTCATAACTTTAAAAGCCAGAACAATTTCCTTCACCAGCCTTTTAAACAGAGATTGACACTTGAGAAATGCTCAGAGGCGACTGTACGGTTTTCTATATTCGTTTTGTGTTCCATTTGTTCAGCTTCCCATAGCCTGCTAATCTCCTCTCTTAAAGCCTGTTTCAGCTCGGTGTGTACTCAAACAGTAGCATCTTGTAGGAAACACAGCACTCATCCCACCAGAGGCTTCTTCTGGGGAGACAGAGGAGAAGGGAGGACCACCACACATGGCTGGACTAAAATCATCAGAAACGTTCACGGAAAGACCCAGCAGCTCCCTGCATGTAGACAAGGATCTCTCCCAGAACAGCCCGAGGCAGACTGCACCTAAAAATCCCCGAGATGCTCACCTGAAACCCCAGGAAAAGCTTGCATGGACTCTTGGCAAAGCCCAACCATTGTATTTCGCATGCATGCCTCTGTGCAGAGGTCAGGGTGGACAGAGGGGAAATACCATCCAGGTGGGAAGGGAAACCCTCTCATTCCATCCCCATGGGCACCCATGGCAGGAGCCAGGGCGAGCCGGCTCTTACCTCGTCGCAGGCGGCGCAGCGGGGCTTGAGGCACTCGGCGTGGTGCCGGCCGCAGTAGATCTTCCCGTCTTGGTAGAAGTAGATCAGGTCGACCAGCAGCTCATTGCAGACGCTGCAGATGAAGCAGGGAGGGTGCCAGCAAACGCCGTGCCCAGCTCGTGAGGCGAAGACAGCCATGTCCCCTCCGTTGATCTGGCCGCCGCACTGTCAGAAAAGCCAGCGTTTGCGGGCCCGCCCGGCCCCGGCCCCCTGCCCCCACAGCCGCAGCAGAAGAAGGTCCTAATTCACAACTCCTTTCTGCTGTCTCCTAATCTCTTTTCCTCCCTGTTTTATGGCCAGGATATCACCAATTAACAGCTTCCCCCCGGCACGAGGCCAGGAGCTGAAGGGACTGCTCCACATCAAACATTGCGGGGTGCCCTCAGCACGCGCCCTGATGGATCCCAGTGCTCATGGCTGGTGGGGGCCACGGGGTGGGTGCTGCCCCTATGAGCTTCGCTTAACTTTGGTGATTAAAAAGCCACCTCACTCACGCCAGCTCATCAGCCGCTACCCACCTGCTCGCAGATGGCTCCTGTCATGGTTACGGGGAACGGTCGGACATTGCCTCTGCCTAAATTTTCCCTCTTCCTTTGGTTGCTGAAGAGTTTGAGCTCCCTCTTCTCCTCCTCATCCAAAGAATTGCAATAGCGAACCTAAAAACCAGAAGCGATGCTCGGTGTTGGGGTGGCCGTGGCTCCCCCGGCAGCGAGCCACCGTCCCGCGCGCTCTGCCATCCTCTGCACGAGGGTTACGCACACGGACGCTGCCTGGGGCTCAGGGCAGGCTGGAGAAACGCGGCTGTCTGGGCTGCAGCCAGCCCGGGGCTTGGACAAAATGTCAGCAGGTAGAGATGAGAAGAAAGAGCAGGAGGAAGGTTCGTCTTCGGATGCGAGGTTTCTAGGAACTCCTTAAAAGTCGGGTCCTTAGAGTCCTCCCCAAACCCAGAGAACAGACTGATGGTTTTTCTGTTTTCTCCATCAGTCTCCTTAGGGCACAGGCCTTACAGCAGCTTCTAAACGTTTTACTGGCATTTCTAGAGCACAGCCTGCTTTCCCTGTGTAAATGAGGGAGGTCTGGCTATTTGGGAACTCCAATTATTCTTCCAGCATAGAGTCAAGTCTGCACGTTTGCAAAACCTCTGTGTTTGCTAAGGAAATAGGTAAAATCAAAGGATATAAACAACGAATGACACATTTTCCCCGAAGCTTACGAAACTCTGAGGCTTTCCTGGCTGTTTTCACGCTGCAGGCTTAGCTCTTAGCTGGTTGCATCTCAACAGAGAACATGACTGAAGAGCCAAGGTGACGACAGGTAGCACCAGTGCTCAATCCAGCCTTCGTTGCTTTGGAGAGTGGGCTCGTGGAGCCCAGCAGGATTATTCGTGTGAGTAACCAACACACCTTGAATTTTCAATGAAGCAAAACCGAGCACGAGAGGAAAGGGGATGCAAAATCTGCCAATTTGCAGAAAATATATGCAAACTCGTGCCTCCAGCTTGCAGCAGCACAGGCTGCAGTAGCAGCGTTCATGTGTATTTATTTTTGGCTTTTTCAGCTGTTGGAGGCCGTGGGTTTTCAGCGGCAGCCAGGGAAGGCAGGCAGGCAGGTTGGGGCCCGAGGGCGCAGGGGAAGAAGCCCCTGCCCCGCTGTGCCCAGGGCAGCCAGCCACACACAGGCAAACTCATTAAAATCTGATCTAGATCAAACAAGTTACCTGTGCGCATTTTCCAGAGCGGCTTCTTCAGAAAGCAGCATGAAAATAATGTTTTTTTTGTTTACACAGGGAAATTTTGCGGGCTACCAGAAGCCAATGTTCTCACTGGTGAGAACAGGAGGACCCTTTTCGCTGCCCCACATCCTTCTTGTGAGACACAAGAACGTTTATTTGCTCTGATCGGCCTTGGCTCAACCTCCGCCTTGCCGGGCTCTCCGAGCTCGCGAGGCTCAGCCCGAGTGAAACCCCTCCTTGGCACACACGCTCCCGCTCCCAAGGAGAGTCGGAAGCAGCACTTGAGAAACAAAAAGGCTTTTGCAACTTTGGATCTGGCTCTAGCTGATCTCAATAGCGTTTCAAGCCGCTTTTAATGTGGCTTTTGCTTCCGAGGGCTGAAGAAAGTGCTTGTATTTCAGAGCACTGAAGAAAGATGATTAAAAAAATTTTAACTTTAGAAACAAACAACTCCCCACTTCCAACGCAATCCAAGCAGGGAGCAAACATGGCACTTAAAACAGCAACATAATCAAACTCCGAGTAAATCCCCCGAGAAGCAGAAAGGGCTGAGAAAGGACCAGCCATGCTTCCCACGAGCAACTCCAAGAGATGCATCCCCTCCCAACCCACAGCCCCGACGGGTGCCCAAGGATGCTTTTCGGTTACTAACCTCATTGTCGTGCGGCGGCAGCTGATGCAAAAGCTGCTTTATGCGAGATTTTTCTCCCGGGCTGTTGACGTAGGGGACCTTGTCCTCGGGCAGGCAGCTGTAGTACTGGTGCACCTATGGAGCAAGAGAGGGGACTGCAGTGGGGCTCCTGACCCGTGCCCGCCCCCGCAGCCACCCCCAAAGCCAGAGGCCGCTGGGTCTTCCCAACGATCTCAAGCAGGGAAACGCAGCCAGGCGCTGCTTTGGCTTTACTGCCTTTTCTCTGTCGAGAAAGAGGGGTGGCAGCCCCGGCGAGGCGGCGGAGCTCATTACCGTTTGCTCAGTCAGCCTCCATAGCGTGAGCATGTTTCACCGGCTGCGGGGATGTGTCAGCACCTGCCTCGGCAGGGGAGGCTAAAAAGGCTGTGCCCCGGCAGCCTCCGTGTTGCTGGCTATCTCAGCCTCCACCTCCATCAAAACCCTCCGGGCTTTTTTCTGCAGCAACTTGGGGAAGTAAACAGCAGATAAAAATCTGTTGGAAGGCTTGGTTTTTCTCTTTCGTCTCGGAGCGTGTAATTAAAATCAGCCCGTAACAAGGCAGTGCGGTGGGGCACGGCGTGCCCTGGCGCTGGAGGAGCCCAGTGGCAGCCCAGAGAGGAAGC